TTTGTATGCAATGATTAAGCACAAATTTGTGTGTAGCAATGTTTGTAGAGGAAGCACCATGTAGCACCTTAACTCTTCATCTGTAGACCCAGGCTGGTTCATTACACCTTTACTTGGTAAAAATCCATGAACATTTAGTTAGCTATAGAAAAAACAATGCATATCATACAATACTCTCTTGATGCTCCAATGTGATGGGGCCTGTATATCCACAGTTGAGGATTTCCTCTGTGTACTGTCTCACAGCAGTTGCATTCTCAATCTAAAAAAATATTTAACAAGTATTTTTCAAAAAACACTTTCATGATAGAAAGGATGTGTGCTTAAGATTTAAACACAGATTTTCGGTTAATGCGGACAACTCTGCATGATACACGTTTTCTTTTGTGCTGTTCCCGTCCTGTGTGTGCCGGTGAAAAACTGGTAACACCACTTTTGAACAACGTGTGGAGGTGGCCCACCTTGACCTCGGCTCAGTGCAACTATTTCCCCAGCAACTCTTTATATAAGAGGGGGAAATAAAAATGTGATCTAATGCCAAAATTATGAATGGACCTACCTTCTTATTCAGGCCATTCCCATCAATATTTTTCCAAAAGAAAGGTTTTTGTTGAATATACTGCGATGTGAGTACAATTTTCCTCAAGCAACCAAAGTCAGTTTGCCTTTTAGGCCAACAGACTCTTTTTACCCATGAAATGAAGACAGAGGGAATATATTTTTGAATATGAAAGGAGATCTTTAAGCTAATTGTGACTAATTTATCATGCCATCCCACAGATCACATTGCTCAGATTAAAACAACCTTGTGAAATTATTTGGACCTTGACCTTTGAATTCCAAGTTCTGGATTGGGAAGCATTTGTTACTTAACGGGCATATTATCTTACTTTGCTAAATAGGAAGACGTACAGACAGAATTAGTTTACGTTTTGATAGCAAACCCCCTCAACATGAATGGTAAATGCTCATTTATGGTTTCACTCAAAATCAGAAGTAATACAAATATAAAGCATTATATTATTCTGATGTTACAGGAATAGAAGAATCAAGCTTCTCATCTACTTGCTGAAAATATTGCCAAACAATGTGTCAGATAACCTGAAGTCATTTATTATTCATACAAACCAAGAGTTGCTAATTTGCCATATGAGCCGTTTTAAGGCAGTTTTGCTGCAAATTAAAATCCGCCCCTTGCCGCAGACACTCTGGTGCACCTCTTCAAAATTGTTGGTGACCGTAGACAGTGCCACAGACAGGAAACACAAAACCAAACACAGCGTCCAAATAAAAACCAAAACAACCCACCCAAGGTGGGCAAGGGCAAACAAAGTCCCTGGAGGGCGGCCGTGTGGCCGGAGACCAGGAAGAGTCTCTGGAGGGCGGCCGTGTGGCCGGAGGCGAGGCAGAGAGTCTCTGGAGGCCGGCGGCGATGCCGTTTCTGACGAAGGAAGGCCTCTGGAGGAGGAACCTTTGAACCCCATATCAAACACCTCTGCAAAATCTCCTTTTATGATCTAATAAATATTTCTTACCTCACCTTGGCTGATGCAGAAAAATGGTCCATGCCTTTGTCTCCTCCAGGCTGGACTACTGTAATGCACTTCTCGTCGGGATCCCCAACAAGAGTCTGCAGAAACTACAGTGGATTCAGAACAGAGCTGCAAGGGTCCTGATGAGAGTCCGAAAGTACAACCACATCACACCCATGCTCCACTCCCTTCACTGGCTTCCTGTTTCTGGAAGGATTGAATACAAGGTCTCAATTCACACCCACCAGTGCATCTATGGAAATGCCCCACTATACCTGAAGGAACTGCTCACCCCTCTCACTACAACGCTATCCCAGCGCTCACAACACTCAAACCACCTCCTCCTCCCCAAGACTAAGCTACGTACCATGGGCGATCGTGCCTTCTGCTCTGCCGCTCTTCGAACCTGGAATGCCCTCCCTAATGTACTTTTAATGTAAAGTACATTACAAATAAAATGTATTATTATTATTATTATTATTATTATTATTATTATTATTATTATTATTATTATTATTATTATTATTATTATTATTATTATTATTATTATTTTCCTTTGCTGTTAATCTGTGACTCCATGCATGCCCATCTCACAGCTGATGTGAAAAACATGATGAAAAATATGAACGCTGTGCTTGCTGTTCCGGTAGGTCTGACAAAGGAACTTCAACCGCTCAACATCGGTGTGAACCGGCCGTTCAAAGTAATACTGCTTTCACACCGGACGCAGCAGGCGCGGCAGAAGCAGCAAGTTTACATGCAAAGTCAATGGTTGACGCGCGTCAAGGCGCAACAAAAGGTCCCGCAGCGCGTTTTGAGCAGCAGGCGCAGCGCGTCTGAGCAGCTGAAGCAGCACATCGGGAGCATTTAAGCATTTGACGCGCTGCAAACGCGCTGCTGCTCGATATGTTCGCTTTTATTATCCTAGTGCCTGCAGTTTGGATTATTTTGATGAAAAACACCTACCAGCCGCCGCGGTGAACCACGAGGGGGCTGGTAGGCCAGAGGCTGCTGTTGAATTAAATTTTCAGTTGGATTTTCCCACTTAAAAACATATTA